GGTTGGCAGTCACTGTGTCTCCCTCTTTGCACCATCCCTGGAGGAGCCTCCCAGCCAGACCCCAGGTCCCTGCTCGGACGGGCCGAGCCCCAGGGCAGCAGCAGTTGTCCTGAGCTACAGAGTTCTTACGTCAGACCTGCGGCGCTGGGAACAGCTCTCATCATCTCTGCCAGTCTTTGCCGCTTTGGACTGATTTGTACCCATTTGTGTTAGTCTGCAAGGGCTGCCATAAAAGAACATTACAGACTAGGTGGCTTAAACAACAGAAATTCATTTTCTCACTTTTCTGGAGGCTGGAAGTCCAAGATCAAGGTGTTGGCAGGTCTTGTTTCTCCCGAGGCCTCTCTCCCTGGCTTGCAGACGGCCACCGCCCACTCCGTCCTCACCAGGCCTTTCTCTGTGCACGGACATCCCTATGTCCCTTCCTTGTCTCATAAGTACACCAGCCCTATTGGATTGGCCACCCACCCTGAGGACCTCGTTTCACTTTAATTTCCCCTTTAAAGGCCCTGTCTCAGCCAGGCGCGGTGGCTCACGCCTGTCATCCTAGCACTCTGGGAGGGCGAGGCGGGCGGATTGCTCAAGGTCAGGAGTTCGAAACCAGCCCGAGCAAGAGTGAGACCCCGTCTCTACTATAAATAGAAAGAAATCAGTTGGCCAACTAATATATATAGAAAAAATTAACGGCATTGGTTGCATGCCGTGTGTCCCAGTCCTCGGGAGGCTGAGGCAGGAGGATCACTTAGCCAGGATTTGAGGTTTGTGACTAGCTGACGCATGGCATCACTAGGCCCTGGGTGACAAAGCGAGACTCTGTCTCAAAAATAAATAATAAATAAATAAAGCCTTCTCCAAGTACATCACTAAGGGCAGTGCTTCCACCATATGAATTGGGGGAACATAATTCCAGTCCGTCACCCTTTATCTCCAAATCTACCGCCAGGTGTCACAGCGGCCTCCAGTTGCCAGATCCGCTGACCCGGCCCGGTCGCCCTCTCTGCGTCCGCGCCCACGGTCTTTCCTGGCATGTCCACTCCTCTCCTCTAGCGCAGATTCCCCTCCCTCTTTGATGTTTGGGTTGCATGCATGTGGTACCAGCCTCATTCTTTTTCACGTCTGCCAAACTTGCTCACCACTGTGCACGTCATGGGCCCGCCCAGATGAAAGAGCTGCCCACACCTTTGGTGTCCCCGTCTGCCTCGTGAAGCCCCATCACCAGGCCCAGCAGAGCCAGGACGGAGCCGAGGCATGGCTTCCCTCCTTTAGACACACGCCAGCCCTCCTCTCTCGCTCCGGTTGGCAGTTGCCGGCCGCCCTTGCGTGGCCATCAGAGCCCCAGAAACCCAGGCGTGCGTCCTGAGTTCCTCCTCCTCGTTCTGCCAGGATGGGCGGGCATTGACGATCAGTTGGGCATGGTTTCTGTTGCCGTGTGCGTTTTCAGAGTCTGACCTCTGCTCTGGTCGCTGCCGGCTGCCCTAGCAGCTTCTCAGCGTCTCCTGGTGGGTGAGTCCAGCAGGCACAAGAACGGCTCCCGCTTGCTCGATTCGCCGGTCCCCACCCCTGGGCCGCAGGCCAGCCACCTGTCTGCGGCTTGTCAGGGACAGGCTGTAGAGCTGCGCCCTGGGTCGGAGAATTTCATTTCCCTTAAACTTAGAAGCGCAGGGTCTGCAGTGCGGCAAGTGAGCCGGGGAGCGCAGAAACGTCACTGTTGCTGTTTGTCAGTGCTGATTGCTGATTCCTGTGTTCCCAGGTTAGAACCAGGCACAGTGGCTGTTGGAATAACTCGAGTAGTTATATAAATGGCCTAATTATCCTGTAGCCTCTTACTGCAAAAAAGGGAGTGAAAAAGAAAACAGAACAACAAAAAATAGGCTAATTATATAGTGGAAGTAAGTAGACATTTTTCGGACTTAGATCTTACTAAAATGACATTTATTATTTTTAGTGAAAAATCCGAAGATTTAACCAAGCAAACCACAGCTATGTACTGAAGAAGAAAAATCTACGCATATCCCGAAATACACGTCGGAGACTGGATTCAGGTAAAGTTCAGGTGGGAGTAAAATACTTATAGTTTTTTTACCCCTAGAAAGGTAGAAAACATTTAATGCTTAGAGTTTATGACTGTTCATCTATGTTTTGAGTTATTTTGATTTGTTGCTTCCTTTCAGCTGTGTTGAAACCAAGTCTAAATCATCCTACATAAATTACTAAACCATTCATATGTTCGATGCCAAAGTAAGATTAACCACTTAGACAACCTAATTAGCTCTCAGAGCTTTGACGTTATTGGTTATTATTTTGACGTTATTGTCATAGGTGCTCCCTCCCTTGAACTTTTTTTGTAGGTTTCTACAGCCTCCTGGTCCTTTTTTTTTTTTTCAGAAGAGTATCTCCTTATTGCTCAGGCTGGCTTTATTTTTTGTTTTTTTTGAGACAGAGTCTCACTTTGTTGCGCAGCTAGAGTGAGTGCCATGGCGTCAGCCTAGCTCACAGCAACCTCAAACTCCTGGCTCAAACAATCCTACTGCCTCAGCCTCCCTAGTAGCTGGGACTACAGGCATGCGCCACCATGCCCGGATAATTTTTTCTATATATATTAGTTGGCCAATTAATTTCTTTCTATTTATAGTAGAGACAGGGTCTCGTTCTTGCTCAGGGTGGTTTCGAACTCCTGACCTCGAGCAATCCACCCACCTCGGCCTCCTAGAGTGCTAGGATTACAGATGTGAGCCACCGCACCCGGCCCAGTTTTTTTTTTTTTTTTTTTAAATTTTAATTTTTGGTACAGATTGGGTCTTGCTATTTTTCCCAGGCTGGTCTTGAACTCGTGGCCCTGAGTGATCTTCCTGCATCAGCCTCTTGAGTGGCTGGGATTATAGGCATGTGCTGGCTCTGAATATTGATTTAACTCAAAATAGTAGTATTACATTCAGGGTTCAGAGGATACAAAAAGAGGACGTAAGTGAGTGTGTATGTGGAGGTGGGGAAAGTAAGAGAGCTAAATCTTAATGTTTTGTATAGGAAACCTAGTATCGTATAGAGCTAAATTAAAAAGAATCAAGAAATAGTGCCCAGGCGCAGTGGCTCACACCTGTAATCATAGCATTCTGGGAGGCCAAGGCGGGTGGATTGCTGGAGCTCAGGAGTTCAAAACCAGCCTGAGGAAGAGCAAGACCCCGTCTCTACTAAAAATAGAAAGAAATTATCTGAATAACTAAAAATATATAGAAAAATTTAGCTGGGCATGGTGGCGCATGCCTATAGTCCCAGCTACTCAGGAGGCTGAAGCAGAAGTATCGCTTGAGCCCAGGGGTTTGAGGTTGCTGTGAGGTACGCTGACACCACAGCACTCTAGCTCAGGCAGCAGAGTAAAACTCTGTCTCAAAAAACAACAAAGAAAAGAATATCCACAGCAAACGCCTTTGGAAAAAAAAAAAATAAAAAAGAAAAGAATAATTTAGTAGAAGGAAATTAAAAATACTTTATAGCTATTATTGGGAGGAGGGAGACCAAAGTGATCTGGAGCCTGGTGCAGGAGCTCATGCCTTTAATCCTAGCACTTTGGGAGGCTAAGGTGGGAGGATTGCTTGAGTCTAGGAGTTCAAGACTAGCCTGGGCAACATAGCCAGATCTCATCTGTACAAAAAACAAAAAAGGGGGAGGAGGCAGGGCCGGGGGAAAAAAAAAAAAAACACAAAAAAAACAAAAAAGCTAGGCATGGTGGTGAGCCTGTAGTCCTAGCTACTTGTGAGGCTGAGGCAGGAGGATCACTTGAGCCCAGGAGTTTGAGGTTGCTGTGAGCTAGGCTGACGCCACGGCACTCACCCTAGCCTGGGTGACAAAGCGAGACTCTGTCTCAAAAAATAAAATAAATAAATAAATAAAGGCCCTGTCTCCAAGTACAGTCACCTTAAGGGCTAGTGCTTCCACATATGAATTTGGGGGGAACATAATTCAGTCCGTCACACCCTTTATCCCAAATCACCGCCAGGGTCACAGCGGCCTCCACATTGCCAGATCCGCTGGCTCCTCTGCGTGCCGCGCCCACGGCTCTTTCCTGGCATGTCCACTCCTGCTCCCTCAGCAGATTCCCCTCCTCTGTGATGTTGGTGGGTTGCAGCATGTGGTTACCAGCCCTCATCTTTTTTCACTCTGCACACTTGCTCACCACCTGTGCACTCATGGGCCCGCCCAGATGAACAGAGCTGCCCACACCTTTGTGTCCCGTCTGCCTCGTGAAGCCCCATCACAGGCCCCAGCAGAGCCAGGACGGAGCCGAGCATGGCTTCCCTCTTTAAACACCCCAGCCTCCTCCCTCGCTCGGTTGGCAGTGCCGGCCGCCCTCTGCGTGGCACATCAGAGCCCCAGAAACCCAGGCGTCGTCCTGGAGTCTTCCCTCCTCCTCGTTCTGCAAGGATTGGGCGGGATGGACGATCAGTTGGGCATCAGTTCTGTGCCGTGTGCCTGTTTCTCAGATCTGACTCTCTGCTCTGGTCGCTGCCGCTGCCCGAGCAGCTTCTCAGCGTCTCTTGTGTGGGTGAGTCCAGCAGGCACAGAACGGGCTCCCGCTTTGCTCTGATTCTGCGGTCCCCACCCCTGGGCCGCAGGCCAGCACCTGTCTGCGGCTTGTCAGGGACCAGGCCGTAGAGCTGCGCCCTGGGTCTGGAGAATTTCATTTCCCTTAAACTTAGGAACCGGGTCTGCACAGCGGGAAGTGAGCTCGGGGAGCGCAGGAAACGTCACTGTTGCCGTTGTCAGTGCTGATGCTGATTCCTGTGTTCCCAGGGCTTAGAACAGGCCACAGTGGCTGTTGGAATAACTCGAGTACGTTAGTAAGAATAGCTAATTATTCCTGTAGCCTCTTACTGCAAAAAAGGGAGTAAAAAAGAAAAACAGCAACAACAACAACAACAAAAAGAATAGCTAATTAGTATAGTTGGAATAAGTAGACATTTTTTCGGACTTAGATCTTACTAATAATGACTTTATTATTTTAGTGAAAATCCGAAGATTCAACAAAGCCAAACCACAGCCTGATGTACTTGAAGAAGAAAAAATCTACGCATATCCCAGAAATACTACCTCGGAGACTGGATTCAGGTAAAGTTCAGGTGGGGAGTAAAATACTTAAGTTTTTTACCCCTAGAAGGGTAGAAAACATTTTAATGCTTAGAGTTTATGACTGTTCATCTATGTTTTATGGTTATGTTTGATTTGTTTGCTTCCTTTCAGCTGTGTTGAAACCAAGTCTAAATCATCCTACATAAATTTACTAAACCATTCATATGTTCGATGCAAAAGTAAGATTAACCACTTAGACAACCTAATTAGCCTCTCAGAGCTTTTGACGTTATTGTTATTATTTTGACGTTATTGTCATTAGTTGCTCCCTCCCTTGAAGTGCTTTTTTTGTAGGTTTCTACAGCCTCCTGGTCTTTTTTTTTTTTTCAGACAGAGTATCTCCTTATTGCTCAGGCTGGCTTTATTGTTTTTGTTTTTTTTTTGAGACAGAGTCTCACTTTGTTGCCCAGGCTAGAGTGAGTGCCATGGCGTCAGCCTAGCTCACAGCAACCTCAAACTCCTGGGCTCAAACAATCCTACTGCCTCAGCCTCCCTAGTAGCTGGGACTACAGGCATGTACCACCATGCCTGGCTAATTTTTTTTCTATATATATTACTTGGCCAATTAATTTCTTTCTATTTATAGTAGAGCCAGGGTCTCACTCTTGCTCAGGCTGGTTTCAAACTCCTGACCTTGAGCAATCCACCCGCCTCGGCCACCCAGAGAGCTAGGATTACAGGCGTGAGCCACCGCACCTGGCTGAAGATAATCTATTTTAAACAGGGTTTTAATCAAATAAGTTCTTCTCACTTTTAAGCTAATGAGAGGAGTGATTATTTCCTGTGGTGGGTGTTCTTCCTGCATTGCCTTATCATGTATTGCATGTGCTTATGTGGCATTGGATAGCTGTGGCCCATGCAGCTTTTATAGATAACTTCCTCACTATAGGACCAAGGTCTCACCGGTGATTTAATATGCAAACTCCTACAGTTTTCTATTCTCCAGAAATAAAATAGGAAGATTACTTGTACCAGTGTTTGACAGCCCTGTGTCAGACAAACCAGTGTTGCTTCTTTTATTGGCAGCACCTTTCTGTTAGCAAGAGCTGAAAAATTGAGAGAATTTAGACTGTCACTTTATTTTTACCCTTCTTCAAGAAGTTGACATACAATTCTGGCCGGGTGCAGTGGCTCACACCTGTAATCCTAGCTCTCTGGGAGGCCGAGGTGGGCAGTCAGGAGTTCGAAACCACCCTGGGCAAGAGCAAGACCCCGTCTCTACTATAAATAGAAAGAAATTAATTGGCCAACTAATATATATAGAAAAAATTAGCTGGGCATGGTGCCTGCAGTCCCAGCTACTCGGGAGGCTGAGGCAGGATTGCTTGAGCCGAGGAGTTTGAGGTTGCTGTGAGCCAGGCTGACGCCACGGCACTCACTCTAGCAGGAGCAACAAAGCGAGACTCTGTCTCAAAAAAAAAAAAAAAAAAAAAGAAGTTGACTTATAATTCAGTATTGGTTATACCTTCATTGGGTCAGCAAGTTCACTTATAGAAATCTTCTGTGGTTTTAAATTAGTGTAAAAGGAAGAAAAGAATCCTTTTCTAGTCTTGTTATACTTAAAAATTGTGATGGGAATAAAATGTCATGTCAGTTTTCTTACAGGTGTTAAACTTACTTAATTCTCAAGATAAAAATGAATTATTTTTATGAGTAATGGCATTGTTTATCCATTTTTTCCCAGTATGGCCCTTTAAGTGAATCATATTTCTTATCAGCACTGCTGCATGCTGCCTTAGGAAGACTTCTGGATGAAGGCTTAATATGAGTGGAGGGGATATTTATGATTGTGTAGGCTGTTAATATTTTTTGGTCATTAGCTGAATAGTCAATATTTGATTTGAAAAGCTATATGCAACTTCTACTGAAGGGTTTCAAGCAAGGAAGTGACGTCAGTTTTAGGTGGATCAGACTGTAATTCAATACAGAGGAAATATGGGTGGCAAAAGGATATGGCCTTGAACTAGGGCAGGTATAGTAACATTATAAAGATATTTGTGTATATGTATATAAATAGAGAAGTATATGTATGTGTGTGTGTGTGTTCCAATTGACAGTAGCATCATGACTTATTAAAAGTTCATTATTTGTTAATGGCAATATTGAAAAATACAAATAAAACATAGGAATGTATTGGATATAACTTATATAGGCAAGGGATGAATTCATTGGGTCACATCTCCCGTGAGCTATGGAGGGCAAGTGCCTGTGTTTAGATACAGCCATTGCTGGGTGTTCTGAAGGTTTTCTACCAAAGAAAAACTGAAGAGCTGAAGCACCCACAAACTTTGCCTTCAGTTGTTTTACTTTTCAAAAGGAAAACAGCAGTGGTAGATGATGATTAGTGCTTTTTTTTAATTCAATTTGGATCTACGGTCAGTTTCTGAGATGGATGGGATGAACTTTGGTTTACAGAGAAAGGCATAGTTAGAGAGTTAGGATGCTCAGGTTCTGATATAATGTCTGTATAACCACTGACACTTTTCTAAGTGCAATAACGAACATTTCAAACACATGAAAATGAATGTAAGTATCAGAACTAGCAAAACAGAAAAATGAACAAAACAAATGTTAAGTGTTCTCTTCACGTGGCTGGTACTATGCCAGCACTGTGGGCACAAAAATTGAAGATGGCCGGAGCTCACATTCTAAGGAGGGAGAGGCTCTGCGCTAAATGCAATGACGACAGTGAGCCCAAAGCACTGCCCTCCCCGTCAGAAGGTTTTAGGAATTCCAGGCAAAATAATGAGTCAAGAGGCAAGGCAAGGCTGGGCTGGGCGTGGTAGCTCATGCCTGTTATCCTAGCACTCTGGGAGGCTGAGGCGGGAGGATGGCTCAAGGTCAGGAGTTTGAGATCAGCCTGAGCAAGAGTGAGACCCAGACTCTACTAAAAATAGAAAGAAATTGGCCAACTAAAAATACATAGAAAAAACTAGCCGGGCATGGTGGCGCGTGCCTGTAGTCCCAGCTACTCGGGAGGCTGAGGCAGGAGGATCACTTGAGCCCAGGAGTTTGAGGTTGCTGTGAGCTAAGCTGACGCCACGGCACTCACTCTAGCCCGGGCAGCAGAGTGAGACTCTGTCTCAAAAAAAAAAAAAAAAAAGCAAGGCAAACAACTACAAAATATCACAAGGACCACATGTAGCTTGAACCAAAAGCATGAGGCGCAGGTGGACAGGGCCAGACGTAGAGGCCTCCATGCGACTGCGGAGCCTGTGCTCCACCTTGCTGATGGACCCACGGCAGGGCTCCCAGCAAGAGACTGTGGTTCAATACGGAGGAAACGTGGCAGAGAGATACGGCTGTGAACTAGGGCAGGCATGGTAACACTTTATTATAAAAGTATATATGTGTGTATCTGTGTATATGTGTGTATTCCAAATGATAGCATCATGACTTATTATAAAATTAAAAGATGATTATTTTTACATGGTAATATTAAAAAATATAAAACAAAACAATTATTTGAAATTCCCCCACAATGGAATTGTGCTAGTTTATACTGCTTTGTTGTCGCATATGCTCACCAATTTTGGGTGTTATCCTATTTAATCCTAGCCCTTCTGATGAGATGTCACTGTTTCTAAATGCATTTCTTTGGATACTAATGAAGTGAAGTTGAGCTTTTTTATGCATATCTTTTGGCCTTTTGTAAATCTTTTGTGACATTTGTATTCAAGTCCTGTGCTTGTTATTCTCCTGGGATAGTCTTTTCCTTAACAAATATAATCTTCCTGTATATATTAAAGGTAGTCCTCAGTTTATATTTGTTAGAAATGTGCCCTAGTTTGTCTTGGGATCTTTTGGTATTTGCCATGTAAACCCTGCAGGCCGGGTTCTTCCTCCCGCTGCACTGGTGGAAAAGTTCCCACAAATGAACGCCCAGAGCCCCATCAGGCTGCTGCCCACCCTGAGAGAGCTGCTGGTGGCTTGGGTGAACTTGAATATACCCAGGCTTCTGCTGTGCCTTTTTTTCTTGCGGAAATTCAAACAAAAGCCTTACTTGAGTCAAGAAAATTATTTCTCCTTTTTTATTTCCCCCGAATTTCCTCTCAGGTTTTCTCAGCCTCAGCACTACTGACATTTTGGGTTGCATAGTTCTGTTGTCAGGGTCTGTCCTGTGCCTCACAGGATGTTTGGCAGCATCCTGGTTGTTACGATGCCCATAGCATCCCTCGTTGTGACAACCAAAAATGTCCCCATCCATATGCACTGCACTTAATTTTATTTAACACTTAATATTTAATTGAGGGCAGACTATGTGCCAGAGAGTATCTTAGGTGCTGGGAATACAGGGGTCAGAAAGGTTACTGTTCTCATGAAATCTACATTTTAGTGGTGGGGGGTTGAGGGATGATGGAAGTGAACACATAAATAAGCCAACTGCTGGGTTTGAGAAATGCAATTATTCTTCCTCTCTAAATTGGACCTTATGAGATACTCTTACATGAATATGGCTTGTAATTTCTGTAACCATTCAGAAAACCAAATGGCAAATGGAATGAATTTATATTCTCCTTTCCCCTTTTTACAGAAAAGGCTAAAAAGGCATGTCCTTTAACAAGTCTGTCCATTTCCGATATTTTAGTAGTCTCACTGTCCGATCAGAGGTGCTTTTATAAATCCTGAATACAAAATTCTGACCCAATAGGCACTTGTTTTTTTAGACCGGGTCTCACTCTGTTGCTTGTGGGTTGCCGAGCACACTCGCACCTCAGAACCTTTGCACATGCTGTGTATGTATAAACAATTCTGTATAAAAACGTATTCAGGGCCAGTCACAGTGGCTCACACCTGTAATCCTAGCTCTCTGGGAGGCCAAGGCAGGCGGATTGCTCGAGGTCAGGAGTTCAAAACTAGCCTGAGCAAGAGCGAGACCCCGTCTCTACTATAAATAGAAAGAAATTAATTGGCCAACTCATATATATAGAAAAAGTTAGCCGGGCATGGTGGTGCATGCCTGTAGTCCCAGCTACTTGGGAGGCTGAGGCTTTGCTTGAGCCCAGGAGTTTGAGGTTGCTGTGAGCTAGGCTGACGCCACGGCACTCACTCTAGCCTGGGCAACAAAGCAGGACTCTGTCTCAAAAAAACACAACGTATTCAGGAATATTTTAGTCTTTTAGAGGTCTGCTGCTATTATTAATCCAACCCCTTATTAATAAATCTTAAAGATGTTTCTGTGATTATAGGGGAACTATACAATATGTTCAAATAAAAATTTCTGTGATCTCCACAATTTGGGAGGCTGTGGTGGGAGAATGGCTTGATGCCATGAATTCAAGACCAGCCTGGACAAATTGGGGGAAATATAAGCTCTTCAATAAGAGTTAAATTCTATGTATCACCCTGAATAATCATCTCAATTTCAGATACAGCAAAGGTTTAAAAGTTTAAAAATTAAGCTCTTATCCTGAATAATACACAAGTGCACAAAGATGTGTGAAATCATGGCAGTAATCATTATATTTTTATTCTTTCTTAATATAAATTTTTACATTAATTTTTATTTTTAATTTTTTATATTTCATTTTGTTCAGGAGCGATTACATGGACTTAAATATAAATTTCATTACATTAATTTTTAATAAGTATTTTTGCATCTTTAAATTTTTTTTATATTAAAGTTATCCAGCTAATTTCTTTCTATATTTTAGTAGAGATGGGGTCCCACTCTTGCTCAAGCTGGTCTCAAACTCCTGAGCTCAAACGATCTACCCATCTCGGCCTCCCAGAGTGCTAGGGTTACAGGCGTGAGCCACCACTCCCAGCCTTAATTTTTTTTATATTTCATTTTGTTCAGGCAGTAATGATCATAATAGTGAAAAATGGGGAGTAGGGATAAATATCTCAAATGATAGATGGGTTTGATAATACATAGAATGGACAGTTTCAGGAGTTTAAAAAAGTATGTTTGTGGATGCTGCACAGACATTCAGTGTCACATACAAAATTAAGTATAAGCCTAATAGCACGGGAAAAATAATACAACTAAGCATTTACATCTGTAATTTAAATGAGTAAGACAAAAATAATCATTGATTAGAAAATAGATTAAGTAGTAGGAAACACCAAACATGTTCCCTGAAACACAAGAAATAAGACAGGAATGTTCACTCTTATTTGCTGTGTTTTATTGTTCTGGAGGGTCCAATAAAACATTTGGGGGATAAGAAAAAGAATGAGGGTGGGCATGTGGCTCATGCCTGTGATCCTAGCACTCTGGGAGGCCTAAGGTGAGAGGACTTCTTGAGGTCAGGAGTTTGAGGCTAGCCTGAGCAAGAGTGAGACCCTGTCTCTACTAAAAGTACAAAAAGTTAGGCAGGTGTGGTGGCAAGCACCTGTAGTACCAGGTACTCTGAAGGCTGAGCCAGAAGGATGGCTTAAGTCCAGGAGTTTGAGGTTGCTGAGAGCTAGGCTGATGCCACAGCACTCTAGCCTGGGCAACAGAGGGGGACTGTCTCAAAAAAAAAAAAAAAAAAGACTTGTCAGAGATAGTTATATGTGGCTTCATAGTTAACGATGGTCTCAGTTGCTTTTCAATTTAAAGTGATTATCTGAATCATATTATTCAAGGCTAGAGCACATAGCCCTCTTATTTTTGAATTCGATCTAGAATAGTTCTAGCATTTAGAGTGGTGTAAAAAGTTCTAAGCTACTGTATACATTTTATGATATGGATCACTGATTTTTTTAAGCACCATTAAATATTCTAATACTTTTAGTTTTGTAATTTATTTATTTATTTGAGACAGAGTCTCCCTTTGTTGCGCAGGCTAGAGTGAGTCAGCCTAGCTCACAGCAACCTCAAACTCCTGGGCTCAAGCCATCCCGCTGCCACAGCCTCCCAAGTGGCTGGGACTACAGGCATGCGCCACCATGCCCAGCTCATTTTTTTTTCCTATATATATTAGTTGGCCAATTAATTTCTTTCTATTTTTAATAGAGACGGGGTCTCGCTCTTGCTCAGGCTGGTTTTAAACTCCTGACCTCAAGCAATCCACCCGCCTCGGCCTCCCAGAATGCTAGGATTATAGGCCTGAGCCACTGCGCTGGGCCAAGTTTTGTAATTTAGATTGTGAAAGGAATGGATGCTAAGTATTAAATCTGTTTATTGGGAAGGGAATTTTGTATGAACAAACAGGAATCTTTTATATTGGAGCACAGGTTTTTAAAAAAACCATAACTTAAAAAACCACTTACCCTTGAAGAGTAAAATGTGTTTACCAGGGACATTTCTAATAGAATAATTTAGGCTGGGTGTGGTGGCTCACGCCTGTAATCCTAGCACTCTGGGAGGCCAAAGTGGACAGATTGTTTAAGCTCAGGAGTTCGAGACCAACCTGAGCAAGAGCAAGACCCTGTCTCTACAAAAAACAGAAAAATTAGTTGGGCATGGTGGTTCATGCCTGTAGTCCTAGCTATTCCAGAGGTTGATGGAGGATCACTTTAGCCCAGGAGTCTGAGGTTGCAGTGAGCTGTGATGACACCACTGCACTCTAGCTGGGGTGACAGAGCGAGACTCAGTCTCAAAAACAAAACGAAACAAACAAAATTTCTGCTTGGAAGTGTTGAAACGGTGAAAGAAAATATTGGAGGGATTAGATTTATAGATGTATTAAGACACTAGCCTAGGCACCTTCCATTATAAACAACTATAGTAAAATGGTTCAGCATCAGGGGGGTTTTCATTCACAATCTGCTCCTGTACAAACCCTGAGAGGTTTTGAATCGGGTCCTACCAGGAAATAGGGCCGAAGAGGTCCAATGAAGGTGTCACTGAAAGTACAGATGTGAGATTTCTCAGCCATGTCAAAGAATGAGATCTCACCCTGCTCGTAGTCCAGGAAAATGCCAATGACTCTGTCCTTCACGTCCAGCAGTGCAGGGGCTGGGGCCGCTCCGGGAGCTTCGTAACCACTGTCCTGCAGCTGAAGCGCCCAGCACCCCTGCCGGGGCAACGCTGGTCTCCTGGCCTTTGTGGGAAGAGAGTCCCTGCAAACACCAATAGCCCATTCCGACTTGTCTCCCACTTCCACCTCCCAGAAATGCCTGCCAGAGGGAAAACATGGAAAACCCAGGACAACTGGTCTGGCTGTAAATCTTCTTGGCAAAGCACGAACCTTTTGTTTTCTCTTTGTAAATCTCACACATTTTTTATCCTTAGAGACAATCAGGTTAGGGTGTGCCGTTTCAGGGTCTAGCATCACATCTGCTTTAAATCTGTCTATAATTCTCTGAAGGGCCGAATACTGGGGAGGAAAACTGCAGCCTTCTTTCCTTAAACGAATGGAGAAGATGGACGGGCTAGCCTCATTTTCAGACCTGTAGAAACCTTTAATCTGTGATAGCATTTGCACTTCAGACAGCTCACTGAGCTCTACGACCCTACTTAACTGACTTTTGAGTGTGGAGACGTAGTTGGAAAACGCGTCTACGTTCTCCCTGAGTTTCTGCTCGATGTCCTTCTCCTCTTCGTCTAACCTGGAGAGCATCGCCTGTTGCTCGCGGTCTAAGAACTGGTTCAGGCGCTCAAATTCGGAGGATAATGCCTGCCTCTGGTTTTCCACCTTCTCACGCAGCTCTAAGGGCTTTTTGTTTTGAATGCTCATCAATCTCTGAAGGTCTTCCTCCCCCTTCCTCAGGGAGGCCAAGTAGCCTTGGAGCTGCCTCCTGTGGTGGGCGGCGGCATCCGCGACGGGCCGGGCCAGGTGGCCCCGGTGGTCGGGGCCCTGCGCGCACAGGTTGCACAGCAGCTCCAGGTCCTCCTCGCAGAAGAAGCACGGGGCCCGGCCGTGCTTCTCGCACAGCGACGCGTCCTGCCTCTTCCTGCTCCTGGGGAGCTGCAGCCGCCGCGCGATGTCTGCGATGCGGCCCAGCTGCTCGTTGCTCCGGAAGTGCCCCATCTCGCACCGGAAGCGGCAGATGGGACACGGGAAGTCGTCCTGCGAGTCCGCATAGGACTGCTGCACGCAGGCGCGGCAGAAGTTGTGCCCGCAGCCGATGGTGACCGGGTCCCTCAGGTAGTCCAGGCAGATGGGGCACTTGGCCTCCGCCTGGAGCCCCGCCACGGCCGCCGCCGCCATCGGGCCGCGCGGAAAGGAAGGAGGCCGGGCGGGCGGCTTTCCTCAGGCGCCGGCGCTCGGTCGAGAGGCGGAACGCCCTCGGGTCTCACCGACCCTCTTGGGGACAGTGGCGATCTCACTGCGGTCCCACGGGTGTCTTCCCGCGGCGGCGGCTCTTGAAGCCCTGGGTCCGCTGGCCCTTTGATTGCAGCTGCCGCAGGGAGTCGCAGGCCGGCCTCCTCAGCTCGGGCTCGGTCAGGAGAACGGCCTTGCCTCAGGTCATCGGTGGCTGTGAGTGGGAAGATGCTTCTTGCCTTTAAAAATCCAAACCAAAGAAAATGAAACAAAATCCTGGCTTTCAGGAGGTCCTACGCTGTACCGTATCTTGGTTAAGGGTAGGTTATCCCCCCTTCCCCAGCCTTCAGTTCCGTCATTCTGGGCCTTTCTTTGCTCTTGTGCTCCCGCCGGCACCTGCCTGGCACCGGGATCCCCAGGTCCCATCCCCCTGCCTGTCCCCCAGCCGGGGCCTGGAGGTGGCAGAGGCTCAAACCGGAATACAGCCCGGTCACCATCTCTGTAACTTTGAGAAATTTATTTATTTCACATCCCAAATTCTTGGAATCAGGCAAATAAGGATAGTCTTTCTCCCTTTTGTTAGTCTGAAGTATGAGAAAAGACAACCTTAGAAACCGAATTGGGCCAAATTGTGAGTCTTTATTTACTGGCCTAGACTGCTCCTGTCCTTCAGAGTGGCAAGCACAGAAAAGTAGTGATGAGAAGGGAAAAATGGCCCCCTTTAAAAGGCAAAAACCACACTCTAAAAATCTAATTAGCAAGCACTTTTACAAAAGTGAGAGAAAGCATTAATCTTACATTTCTATCTTGTTTTAGTACAATGGGGGGGGGGGGTTAGAGCCTTGAGATAGGTTTTGTAGAAGTCACTGGCTGCAGCTAAGTTTCAGCCAAGAGGAATTCTCTAAATTATCTTGATTATGGACAACATTAATCTTAGTTGAAATACATCTTGCATCCTGTGATCTAAGCCTGAGCGCATTTCACTAGGTACACAAAGTATGTCAGGCGCCTCAGGGGTCCAGGGCATTGCAACCTTGGACTAGCAGCTATATCTTGTGGGCAGTTGTGCCATGCACCACTGCCTTTCTCCTTAGTTTCTAAACTTATTTACCCTAGCAGAGGTGAGATGGCAGGTGCGGAGTCAGATAAGGATCAACTGAAAACTTCCCACTCTCCTAAGCAAGCAAGCATAATACAGAAGCTAATGGCTGGTTATTGGCTACCTATGTTACCTAGGCCCTAATACCTTTAAACTTTGGCCTTGTGAGAATATAGAGGAACTTAAGGAAAGCCCTCACCAGACAGAGTCTCGCTCTGGCTCATGATGGTCTCAAACTCCTGACCTCAGATAATCCTCCCACCTTGGCCTCCCAGAGTGCTTGGATTATAGGTATGAGCCACCTCACCTGGCCTATTTCTGATGGCTCAAAGTTCATTTTCTAAATTTGGTTTGCTTTTTTCAGCCTTGCTTCTCTACATAGCTATTTATGCAACAGAAGACCTATCTGTGAAAAGAAACTCAGGAGATAACATTTAGAACATATGAATTGAATATAAATAAAACTTGGGACAGGGCACAGTAGCTCATGGCTGTAATCTCAGCACTTTGGAAGGACAAGGTGGGAGGATTGCTTGAGGCCAGGAGCAGCCTAGGCAACATGACCCAAACTCTGTCTTTAAAAAATATGTAAAAAGGCCGGGCGCTGTGGCTCACGCCTGTAATCCTAGCTCTTGGGAGGCCGAGGCGGGCGGATTGCTCAAGGTCAGGAGTTCAAAACCAGCCTGAGCAAGAGCGAGACCCCGTCTCTACTATAAAAAAAAAAAAAAAAAAAAATTAAAAAAAAAAATGTAAAAATTAGCTGGGCCAGGTGTGGCAGCTCACGCCTGTAATCCTAGCACTCTGGGAGGCCAAGGCAGAGGAGGATTGCTCCAGGTCGGGAGTTCGAGACTGGCGTGAGCAAGAGCGAGACCTCGTCTCTACTAAAAATAGAAAGAAATTAATTAGCCAATTAAAAATATATACAACAAAGCGAGACTCAGTCTCAAAAAAAAAAAAAATATATATATATATATATAGAAAAGAATTTGAAGAGGTTCGTCTCAGACTACTTGGGGTCTTGTGGCTTCCACTGTGGCTGCTCTGGCTGGGGTCATGTTCTCCAGCGCCACTTTGTCACAAATCTGAGAGCCTCACTGAGTGACCAGAAGGAAAGGAAGGGCTTAACTGCCATGCAGGAGGGACCCTCAATGATGAGCATCAGGAAAGTTGTGGAACAATGAATGATTCAGTTCATCTGTGTCTCCAGATGCTGGTGACCAATGGCTATGCCACCATTAGCCCTCTGGTGCTAATCAGTACTAAAAAATGAATAATCAAGGTCTTAACATTCACATGGGGGAAGGACAGACGAGACCACCAGTACCATATTGAATTAAAGTGATGAGAGCTAAAACCCTTGATATTTTTCTTTTAATCTAAGAAGGATTTGTGTTAGTATTTTACAATCCTCATGACAAGTGTCAACGGAAAAAAACCAAATTTGAGGATCATGACCTGGAGCCACTCCCAAGAGCCCTTGAGCAAGTGGACTCCATGTGAAACACTCATCTCTACAAAGTCATGGAAACAAAACAGCCTACTCCTGAAGGATTATTCTATTAAGGAGGAAATTAAGAAGGAAATCAGAACATTCTTTTAACTAAATTAAAAAGGGGGAAAGGCTGGCTGCGGTGGCTCACACCTGTAATCCTAGCACTCTGGGAAGCTGAAGTGGGTGGATTGCTCAAGGTCAGGAGTTCAAAACCAGCCTGAGCAAGAGTGAGACCCCGTCTCTACTATAAATAGAAAGAGGCCTGGGGCGGTGGCTCACGCCTGTAATCCTAGCTCTCTGGGAGGCCGAGGTGGGCGCAGATGGTTTGAGTTCAGGAGTTCGAAACCAACCTGAGCAAGAGCAAGACCCCATCTCTACTATAAATAGAAAAAAATTAATTGGCCAACTAATATATATAGAAAAAATGAGCCGGGCGTGGTGGCACATGCCTGTAGTCCCAGCTACTCAGGAGGCTGAGGCAGCAGGATTGCTTGAGCCCAAGAGTTTGAGGTTGCTGTGAGCTAGGCTGACGCCACGGCATTCACTCTAGTACGGGCAATGAAGTGAGACTAAAAAAAATCCCAAACCCAGCAGAAGAAAAGAAATAACCAAGATCAGAGCAGAACTAAATGAAATCAGTAATTAAAAAACTATTCAGAACTATATGGAAGATTAATAAAATAAAAAGTTTCTTCTTTGAAAGGATAAACAAAATTGATACTCCTCTTATTAGATTAACCAGAAGCAGAAAGGAAAGGACTCTAATAAGATCAGGAATGAAAAAGGAGAAATTACAACTAATACCACAGAAATACAAATATCTTCTAAACACTATAAAAATCTTTATGTACATAAACTTGAAAACATGGAAGAAATGGACAAATTCTTAGAAACAGACAGCCTACTTAGGCACAATCAGGAAGAAATAGAATTTTCGAACAAACCAATATCAAGTATGAAAATTGAATGAGCAATCAGAAACCTTCCTTAAAGTCCTGGACCAGCTGGTTTCACACCTGAATGTGACTATGGGTACAAAGAAGAGCAGGTCCCCCATCCTGTAGAAATTATTCCACAGCAGTGAGAAGGAAGCAATCCTCCCCAAATGCTTTACAATTCAGCACCACCCTATTACCAAAACCAGTAAAGACTCAAAAATATCTGTTATGAATATAGATGCAAAAATGTAAACATCCTAGCAAACTGAAATAATCATAACCAAGCGGGCTTCATCCCAGAGATGCAGGGATGGTTCAACATTTGCAAATCTATCAATGTAATTGACCACGTAAGTAGAAGTAAGTGTGTCTGCAGGAGTGTTAGTGGACCCAGAAGGCCCTCTGAAACCACATCACACTGAAGGAACCAGAGCCTCTTACAACAGAGGGAGAAGAGGTTTCAAAGTCCTAACTTCAAATCCCAGCTCTGCCACCTCCTGGCTAGCTCTCCCTGAGGACATCAGTCAGCGTCCCTGAGCCAGGTTCTTCAACAATTAAGGCAAAGACTGGAAACAACTGCAGAAACCGTCTCAGGGCTGCTGTGGGGCCACCTGAGGCAGAGGATGTGAAGTACTGGACTCACAGACAATGCCAATTGGCTTGGGAACCCAGAAAGTGAAGCTGGGTCTCCCCAGCTAGTCCTGGTGTCAACTCCCAGCTCAGATCATGCAGCTATGGAGGGGACTTCCCAAAAGGTAGTGAGCTCCCTAGCACCAGAGGAACTCAAGCCATATTTATTTATTTTTTATTTTTTTGAGACAGAGTCTCGCTTTGTTGCCCAGGCTAGAGTGAGTGCCGTGGCGTCAGCCTAGCTCACAGCAACCTCAAACTCCTGGCTCAAGCAATCCTCCTGCCTCAGCCTCCCAAGTAGCTGAGACTACAGGCATGCGCCACCATGCCCGGCTAATTTTTTATATATATTAGTTGGCCAATTAATTTCTTTCTATTTATAGTGGAGACGGGGTCTCGCTCTTGCTCAGGCTGGTTTCAAACTCCTGACCTCGAGCAATCCGCCCGCCTCGGCCTCCCAGAGAGCTAGGATTACAGGCGTGAGCCACCGCGCCCGGCCTCTCAAGCCATATTTAGATCTGTGCCTTCCAAACCGGGAGCCACTGGCCACGTGACGGCTTGAAATGTTGCTAATCTGAATTGTGATGTGCTGTAAGTACAAAACAAACAACAGATTTCAACGACTTACTACACAAAAGAAATGTAAAATATCTCAGTATTTTATATTGATTACATATTGAACAGACCATACTTCCTTGGTCCCAGTTCTGTGCTAATAAGGGACAGAGCAGGATTTTTGTGGCCCAAGGGACCAGAGACTCCAAACTGTCCAAACCCATCTATCAGGAGGCTCCTGAAGAGGATCCACCACCACCGCCCTACAACCCTACCCATGACACCTCCTGAAGTACCCCTGAATCCAGACACCCTGCCACTGTCAGTCTCTCCAGACCAACCAGGTGCCGACATTCCCATAACCCCCTGGCTACGGTCAGCTCAGGCCCTAATTTCAACCCTCCAGATGCCCCTGT